GCTGAGCGCGCTAGGCGGCGGGGTGGAGGGCCAGGTCCTGGCTCTCGAGACCCTGCTGCGCGCGCTGAGCCCCTCCTCGCGCTCCCGCGACTCCCTGGTGGGGGCAGCCCTGGCACGCGATCTGCCCCAGACCCTGCTGGCACGCCTGGGGGAGGCACCCCAGCCCGCAGACCAGGTAGAGGAGAGAGGGGGGGAGGAATTGTGGGAGTGCAGCTTTACAAGGAGCCTGAAGGACGACCGTCCGCCAGGAGACCTTTCAAGGGACTGACTCTGCGGGTCTGTGCCGACTTAGTTGTGTGACGGGCCACAGGCAACCGTACGCAGCCCCAAGATTCACGATACACACTCCCCATCCCCCCCCCCCCCCCCAACCCCCACCCTACTCCATCCAGGTGCCCCCCTGGAGCTCCTGCAGCCCGACACCATGCGCCTGAAGGTGCTGGAGCCCGTGCTCCTGCTGGGCAAGCAGCGCTTCTCCAACGTGGACGTCCGTATCCGCGTGCGCGGCGGAGGCCACGTCGCCCAGATCTACGCTATCCGCCAGGCCATCGCCAAGGGCATCGTGGCCTTCTACCAGAAGCACGTGGACGAGCAGTCCAAGAACCAGATCAAGGACGTCCTGCTGACCTACGACCGCACCCTGTTGGTCGCCGACCCGCGCCGGTCGGAGCCCAAGAAGTTCGGTGGCCCGGGCGCCCGTGCCCGCTTCCAGAAGTCCTACCGCTGACCGCGCCCATGGAGGGCGGGCGCGGCGCACGCCTTGCTGGCCGCGCCCTACCCCTGCTGCACGCTGTAACTTGCAAGGAGGAACCGCCATGGTTGAGTGATGCACGAGAAGGCAGGGGTCAAGAAGGGCGTGCCGAGGAGGTGCCCTCCTGCAGGGCCGGCATCCACTGGTGCAGGTATGGAGCACATCATAACGCAAAGAGTCTTACAGATCACTGCCTCCTCGCGAGGTCTGTGAGCAACAGTCAGGTAGGCCAATACCCTTGTCTTTTCATGGTAAGAGGTATAAATTGTCTTGGGTCATCAGGGTAGGACCCCCGGCTGCATGTCAGTGTAACGTGGCCGGCAGGGGGCGCAGGCAGGCCGAAACAGCCACAGCCTGGCATTTTCAGAGGCGCAACGCTGCCACTCAAGCGGCGGCCTTGGAGGCGCCTGCGATGAGATCCTCCATTGGAGGGTGTACCCCAAAGTCAGACTCGGCGTGACTGTACACGAGCTCGCCGCCGGCCTTGAATACCAGGACGCCCCCCAGCACGACGCCATTGCCGGTGAAGTTGGAATCCTTCACAACTCCGCGCTTGTATGCGGCACGTCCGTTCTTGAATCCGCTGCAGTGTATGGGTGGGAAGGTGTGAGGGAGAGTCGGGCCTATGGTTCACCAGGGCTGATGGTATTAGGGCTGATGGTATTAGAGCAGATGCAAAACGCTTGCTGTGCGCTCAGCCACCTATGCTCTGTGCTCGACCTCACCCAAATATGACTCATGTGAGAGTAATTTCGCCATGTTATACTTTAAACAAGCCCGGCTTACGTGCTGAAAGGGTTGAGCAGGCTCAGCTTAGAAGCAATCTTGACGCTGCCGCCGTGGACAGCTGCGTAGAAGGTGCGCTCGGGGTCGTAGAACACAGCTCCACCCCAGTACTCCGGAGCAAAGGCGTCAATCTCGCGCTGCTTCCACTCGTGAACGGTCAGGATGAGCTTGACGCCCAGCTTCTCGAACTTTTCGCGCTCCGCCCAGACAGCAAGAGTCTGCTCCCGGCACAGGACTGACATGTGGAGAGAAGTTGAGGAGTGTTGACATACCAATGGAAGAGGACGCGAATGCCGGGAAATGGCTTTGCGAAGGATACGAGCATTCAGTCCTTCCTCAATGCATAACTCACTGCATCCGGGACGACGCATGACGATGACCAGGACTGGACTGTCGGCCCAGAGGCTTCCCATTCGCACATCCTCGAATTCTCCCCCAGCGACAGGTTTCTTCAGAGTGGTGTCACTCGTGATATTGGCACCCATTCTGCTGACAAATTTAAGAATACAGTAGTGTTGTACATTGTCAGGATAGGGAAATGCGACTGGCCCATTTATGTTTACAAGGATTATGAAATCGTCGCCGTAATCGTTGTGCGCGCGCGTACAGGGAAGACATGAACATTCGGAGACCGCTCAGTTTCGTCTTACCATGGCAGCTTGATTCTAGACCATTTGACTGAGAACATCCTCACGATCTTGTCTTGTTGGCGTCGAAATCCGCGAGCGGCCTGTTTCGGGTACGCTCCCGGGAGGAGACTGAGCCATGTCGACTCTAGCAGCGGCTCGGGCGGACAACTTCTACTACCCACCGGGATGGGACCCCTCCAAAGGAAACTTGAACAAGGTATGGTACGAGTGATGTGGGAGCGGAGTCTTGTGCGCGTTCTCTCAGGCCGAGTCTGAGGTTCGCCCCTCCTCATCCCTCCCTCTTTTCCCGTACGCCCTCTCAGTTCAACAACTCGCATGGCGCGCTGGGAGACCGGGCGCGCAAGCTGGACCAGGGCATCCTGGTGATACGCTTTGAGATGCCCTTCAATGTGTGGTGCACGGGCTGTGGTCACCTCATTGGCAAGGGCGTCCGGTTCAACGCGGAGAAGAAGCAGGTGGGGATGTACCACACCACCCGGGTGTGGAGCTTCTCCATGCGAGCGCCCTGCTGTCAGCAGCGAATCGAGGTCCACACAGACCCCAAGAACGCGGAATACCAGCTGGTGACGGGGGCACGCAGGTGCTTGGGGGTGCGGATGGGGGTGCATGGGGATGTCGGCATGGTGACTCGCGGCATTTTGGAGTGGGCCTGCTCTCTGCGAGGCTTTCAAGCGGAGTGAAACCCTCCCGACCTGGTCTTCACCCTACCCTCCAATTGTCCTGTCTTGATTGACCTTGTGACAAGCATACTGTCATGGCTTTTTTTGCCTCATCTCTCCCCCCTGAATGCCATGATCTTCCCTGGATGACATGCTCATCCACACTCGCACCTCCCCCCGTCTGCCCCGCCAGGAAAGTCGAGAGCTTCAACGCAGAGGCTGCGGGGACGCTGGAGCTGGATAGCGCGGCGGAGCGGCATGCGGTCCTGGCCGACCCCCTCGCCCGACTGGAGCATGCGGGTCTGGACCAGGCCCGCGCCTCCGAGGCGCGGGCCATGGTCGGCGCCCTGCGTCGCGACAGCACCGCGCGATACAAGTGAGTGCCGTGGGGGTGACATCCCCGGCTAGGCCTCATCCTGGGGAAAGGGGAGGAGGGGGCATGGGGCCCCCACACGAGTCCTGTTTGGGAGAGTGCGCTGCCTCGGAGCGATGTCTCCCACATGCTGCTGTCAATCAACGCCCTGCAAGCCCGACCCACACCCCCTCGCAGGGACGACTACGAGACCAACAAGACGTTGCGGAGGGCGCTGCGCGGCGTGAGGAAGGACGAGGGCGCACGGGAGTCGCAGCGGAGGGCGCTGGGCCTGCCGTCCAGCGTGCGCCTCCTGCCAGGCAGCAGGGCGGATGCGCTGCGTGCCGCAGCGGTGGATTACGGGGCCGGCGGCGGGCCCGGCGGCGAGGCCGGCTTCCAGAGGGACTGGAAAGCGGCGCGGGCGCGCATCAAGGCCGCAGACGCTTTTGGAGGGCCGGCGCCCAAGCGGAAGCTGCGAGCCGCGCCGGGGGTGAAGCTGGCCCTGTCCAAGCCACAGTGACTCGCGCATTGGCCGGCCCTGAGCTGTTCAGTTTTGTACCATGAGATGTTTATTGATTCAGAAGCTCTCGGGTGCCAGGCCAGGACATGGGTGACGCTTTGAGGAACCTGGTGGATGTTCAACATCCATGGCCGGGCGCCAGGTGGCAGTGTGGAAGATAACAATAGCGCGCGAGCGCAAACCAACCGTTTCCGACCCACTCCGAACTTAGATCTTCAAGTTGGCCCGGAACGCCCAAAATTCAGTGAGAACTCGTGCTCACATGAAACAGGGTTGTTCATTGCTCACAATCGACTTTCATCGAAGTACTGAACCCGGTCACGCCCGCCATCGACGCTCACCCTCGGAAGCCCCGATCCATCACCCCCCGAAAGTCGAGCACCGCAACCCCCCAACTCGCGCCCCAGACATGCCATCATCGGGAAGAGGAGGACCTTGCTGCCACTGCAAGGCCACCGAGTCGCACTGTTGGCGTCGGGGCCCACCATCGAAGCCGATACTCTGCAATGCCTGCGGCAGCAGGTGGGACTAGGGACGTCCAGCAAATTGTTTTCGATCATGGGATGCCCTGGGGTCGGTTCAGTGGGCTAGGGGAGGGGCATGTCGCCGTTGTTATCGTGATGAGCTGTTCCGGAAACCCCAGCCTCATCCCCGACATCCGTCCCTCGCAGGTACCTCGTGAAGCGCAGCCTGGAGGGGTACCAGCCCCTGGCGATGCGTGGTATGATCAAGCAACGAGCGAGCAAGGTCTCGGCCCCCGCCCTGCTGCGAGTGCGGCCGACGCGTCGGGATTCAAAGTAAGCGCTGGCGCGTGGAGGTTGGAGGTTGGCGTGAAGCTGGTTTGAAGTCTCTCCGGCCGGATGGGCTGATGGGAGCATATAGGACGAGCTTCCCCCAGCTTCTACTTGATATTCGTTTCCTGAGGGAATCTCTGCTTCTGCTGCCGCAGACGGCTGAGGGATGCATCCATCGACTCCATGAGCTCCGGGGCCTCCTTGGAGGCGGTGACCGACCCGGTCGTCCTGGTCAAGCCCAAGCTGCTGGTCAAGGTGGGGGGGCCCACTTGTCAGCCAGCGCCTGGGCTACTCGATTTGTGAACACATGCACTGCGGCCAGTACCCGTGCACTTTGGGTTGAATGCCAAGAATCCCATCCCCAATTCCGTGCAGAGCCAGCTGACCTTCCGCACGCACCTGCGGAAGCTCGTGCTCCCCCAGCGCAGCCCCATCTTCTGAACTGGCCGCTTGAACTCTCTGTCCCCAGGAAATTCCTTGCGCACAGAAGACTGCCTTAGCAATAAAATACGGCACTGGAAGTTGTAGAAGTCTGCGCGAGGGCCCCTCCCCTCTGTGGGACCCTCCCTGTACATTGAAACCTCCCCCTTCCTGTCACCCTCCCCATCAACTTTTGCTGACCTGGCAACCTCAGCCTGTTCCATGAACATGTATTCTCGCCGCGGGTCCACGCCTCCCCCCCTCCCCCCCCCCACCCGGGCCACGTAAAACCCCGGGCCACTCCCGCCTGCTCTATCAGCAAGCGTGCGAAGTGACCCCTCCCTGCCCGCAGCCCATTTGCCGCCCACCCGCACTGACGAATCTCATTGCCCCTTTTTCCATGCCAACTCTGTACAATGTAGCTGCTGCGCGTGGGTCCGAGTCGCATTGCGCCCCTCTTGTATCCTGCACCCCGAGGCACGACTCCCTTTGATGACTCTCTGGGTCCTGCGTTAGCTCCCCCAGCATCCCTCCCCTGTATGCTAACACGTGTAGACAGACCCAGCATTCAGGGGTGGTATAGCAGTGAGGTTGTGCATGCAGCCAGGTTATATTGGGTATCTGGAGCAGATTGATACCAGGGGCCCACTGCATATCTGTTGTAGAGTGATGGGGGGGGCCGGGGCTCAAAGACGAGATAGTAAAGGTACCCCTCTCATCCCCGCAGGTGTCTGAGGCAAGACTTTGGACTGCACCAGGGCACCACGAGCACTCGGTATCAAGCTTACTGTCCGCAGCATCAGGCGGCTCTGGTAAGTATGTACAGTGGAGTTTCAAGTAGGACTGCCAAGTGCTGCTTGTAGTACACACTCACGGCAATGGCAGGAGAGGTAAGCGCATTATACAGATGCCTAGGTAGATAGGCAGTGCCAGTGGTACAGCTTGGGACTCTACAATCAGTGCTCTGCTTGTACCCTGTTCAGAGGCTCGGCGCTTCTTGGAGCGGCTGCTGGCTGGGAGTCGCCGTCCCGCTCTGAATTCAAGGTGGCCAGCAGATCATTCGGCAGGGGCGTGAACTCAATGATGTGGCGGTACGGTCGATCCTCATCGCAGAACACGATGGCGCAGGAGTGCCCCGCTGGATGTGGCTGGGCTTGGGAGTAGACAACAAACACCGCTGGCACCCACTCTGGCTGCCAGAGGCCTTTATGGGAAGAAGAAGCGGTGTTTCGTGACCTTTGAATCAGTTTGTATGTCGGGCAGAACAGACACCCTGTTGGTAAGGGTGATGTCCACCCAGCATGCACCATGCTGTATCCCGCCGGGCGGAGGCAGGCAAATGGCGAGGGGATCCCCTCCCAGCACCCCCCCTCCCCTCCACCTCCACCAGCACACCCTCAAACTCGTTGATCTGACCCAGAGCCCGGAACTGGGCGCAGATGGGGAGCCGCTCGACGTCCACCACAGCCGACCGCCCGTCGGCGAAGGAGTAGATGGGCCGGGAGTCCTCGGCCGCAAAGTCGTGCAGGCGGCTGTGCCGCGTCGGCCCAGCGACGCCCGACTCGGCATCCACCACGAAGGACAGCCTGGTGCATGACAGAGGGGGTGGCTTGCATTTGTTTCGGCCGGCGAGGAGCATCACGCCAGTCTGCTGTTGGGGGAACGGGCCCACGACACTGGGCGCACGCTGGACCCTCGTGGAATCCCATGGGCATGGGGCCAGCCTTCCCCCCACCCCCTGCCCGGCTCACTGTCCGCCAGGCACATTCACGTCGCCGATGAGCTTGAGGGCCTCCAGCCTCACGCCGGTGACACCCGAATCAGAGGGGGGTGCGGAGCTGGGCCCGCACAGCCGCAGGCTCAGGACCTCGGTCCCATGCGTGGAGTAGGCCCCCGTCACTAGACCCTGGGGCGGGTGGGGACGAGGGGTGCCACAGGGGTGGGCTGCTGGCAGGGCGGCGGGGGGCGAGCCGTCGCAGCCGGGCAAGCATGACGGCAGGCCCCCTCGCCTGACAACCATGCGCGGAGGGTTGTACAGCAGGCCGCGAGACCCCTCGCGTCCCCCACGTCCCACACCTGCATGCGTGCGATGGCGTCCGGCGGAGGAGGAAAGCGCGGGCCCAGCCCCAGGTCCCGTGCCGACACGGGGTGGGTGGCGACCCGGTGGAAGGCCACCCGGCGGCCGTGCTCCCCCATGAGTGGGTTGAACCCGGTCTGGAACCAGGGCCAGCGCGCGACCATGTCGAGGGAGAGGCCGCTGGGGCGGATGCGGGCCAGGCTGGGCGACTTCTGCTGGCTGCGGAGCCAGCGCCAGCGGGGCGCGCCGGAGTCGGGTGGGGAGTACGACCCCACCTCCAGCTGGTTCCACAGGGGCTGGCCGGGCACCGGCGCCCAGGGCAGGGAGGAGTCCGGCGGCCGGCCGCGCGCCGGGGCCAGGTGGGTGAAGCTGAAGCTGCCGGAGGAGGGGTGGTGCCTGCACACCAGCAGCCGGCAGCTCTCCACCACCTGGTCGCCAGACTGGGCGACCCAGAGCCCCGCCGGCCAGGCAGACAGGCGGTGCAACAGGGCCAGGTCGCCCCTGGGCCCCGCCAGGTTGCGCAGGAGGTCCTTGGTGCACCCCGCATCGCGCGGCTGGCAGGAGACCCAGCGGTCCAGCAGCTCGCCCCGGAGGACCGGGGACTCCACGCAGGCGCGGAGGGTGGTGCAGGTCTGGGCCAGCTTGCCGGCGTCTGCCAGGGAGAGACTGCCGGCGATGCGGGACATGGCGTCCATGGGGAGCGCGGTCAGAGTGCATGCTTCGGTGGGTCCCCCCTCATCGACCTCCCGGCGGGGAGGGGCCCGGTAGGTCTCGACCGCCATCATTATGCCGGTTTCTGTGTCATAGGCAGCCCTTAAACCAACATTCCACACGAGCGGGCGACAGTGGGGCCCCCGCGGTGTGCAGGTTTGAGAGGGTGTCGCGTCGAGGGGGGGTATAGGTCTAGATCACTTCGGCGCGATCTCCGTGACTTCGCGCGCGCGCACGCCCGGCCAGGAGGGTGGAGGTTCCTCCCATTGATGTAGACGAACGCTGAGCAAACTGACCCAGACACCTGTGACTCGTGGTACGGTCGTATCATGTTGATGCGCACTGCTCCTTGAGCGTCTGTGAGAGGGTGATGACGCTCGTCGAGTTCTAGCAGCCTGTCTCTTCCGAAACCCGCATGCATTTAGCAAGCGGCTAGATATTGTGATGTGAGGCCAAGGACGGCACATGGAGGGCGTATTATACAAAAGAGGTGTGCGTGGGAGACACCAGTTGCATTCTCAGGGAGCCACGGCTGAGGTGGTTGATTCGTATTCTCTGCACAGCGTAAGGTCCCAAGCCTCTGCTGAGGCGGCACGTCAGGAGCAAGAGCCCAGTCAGTCCAGCTTGGCGGTGTAACACCACCTCCAACTCCCTTTGCAGGGGATGTGGTACCCAGCTGGCGGCCCCGGCGCTTCCAGCTGCAGCCCCGCCCCGTCCCGCTGCTCCTCTACTTCAAGTCAGACCCCGGGTCCCCATCCGGCTGCCTGGACTTGCGCGGCGCGCGCATCAGCCGCTCACCCGGCGGCGACGACGCCCGCTTCACCGTGGAGTCGCCGGACGGCGCCACCTGGCACCTGCAGGCCCCCACCCAGGCCGTGGCCTCCGCATGGCTGGAGGCCCTGCTCCCCGCCACCCAGTCCGGCGCCGGCAAGGGCGGCGCGGAGAGGCGCGGGGCGGAGAGGCGCGGGGAGGCCGGCGCCGCGCATGTTGGCATCCCCAGCACCCCCCCCGCCGCGGTGAGTGGCACCGGGGACGATTCTGGTGCGCCCCGCTACGCTGCCGGCCTGCCGCCACTGGGGCGCGGCAGGCCCAGCGTGGAGGCGCTGATGGTAGGGCTGGGGGCGGCCCTGCCCGCCCTCTCCCTGGCCGAGCAGTTTGAGCGCGGCTCCTCATTCGTCCAGGGCCCCGCCTGCGCGCTGGCGGGGCCCGCGCTGGAGCTGCTGCAGGCCTGGCGCCAGCTGGCGGCGGAGAGGGGGGACGGCCAGGCCACTGCCGCCCAGGCCATGTTCCTGGTACTCCTCACGCAGGCCCGCCCGGACTGGTGCGCCTGGTCCCAGCACGGCGTCCTGTACCTCAGGTGAGGGTGGGGGTGCCTGCGGGGGGGGGGGAGGTGGGAGCGAGGCGGGGGGTGGAAGCAGCATGAGGTAAACTCGAGACAGTCAACCCCTTCGCTGGCCCCTTGACCCCCTCCCACACAGCCCTGAGATGGCATGCTCGATGCTGCGGCAAACCCCCGCCGCCTCCACATTGCTGGACCTGAACGAGTGCCTGGTGTTCAGCACCCCCAACTGGCTGCGCGTGTTTGTGGGCCTGCAAGGCCCCGCCTTCCTGCTGGAGGTGCGGGCGGGAACCTGGAGGAGGGCACTTGTTCTGTGCGCACAGATGCAAACAACTCCGCCAGCCGCTGGAGGCAAGGCCCTGCGCCGGACTTCAATGCAATACATCGTGCAGATCGGATTCACTACAGAGTCGGTGCGGCTTCCAAGGCCACCCGACTTTGCCCCGCTCGACCTCGACCCCCTTCCCGCTCCCCGCAGGCGCTGCTCCTGCACCTGCGCCTGTGGACCGAGTGCGACCCCTTCTTCACTGCGGCGGCACTGGAGAGCGTGGCGGCCGCCCTCCAGGCGCTGCACTCCCTGGTGAGCAGTGCGCCCGGCATGTGCGCGTGCCTGGACCGCCCCGCCTTCCTCCCTGCGGTCTGCGCCTCGTTGGACCCTGGCGCACCGGGCACGACGCAGCTGTCCATGCAGCTCCTGGCGCGGGCGTGCCTCTTCTCGGGGACGGGCTACCGCCTCACGCTGCGCACGCTGCTGAGGTGCTTCGGCACGGGGGCGGTCGGCGGGCCCTGGGCTGTCTGGGCGCCGGGGGAGGCCGAGGGCAGTGGTGGAGCTCGTAGGGCGCAGGAGCTGGTGTCGGGTGGAAAGGGGGGCGTTTCGGCGAGCGCGATGCCTCGCGCGCCAGCCGCGGGCACTGCCGGACCTGCAAGGACGGGAGTTGGAGCCCCTCCGCCGGCCCCACCTCCCCCCCCACCTGGTGGGAGGCAGGGCAGGGGCACCCCTCGCACTCCTCCGCCCCCTCCACCCCTCCCACCTGGAGCGGGACAAGGCAGGCCCCCACCGTGGACTCCTCCTCCGCCTCCTCCACCACCACCTTCGGCTGGAGGAATGCCCAGCAAGAGGCCCCCACAAGCTCCACCGCCGCCGCCGCCCCCTCCACCTGGAGTACAGAGGCGCGCCAGTCCCACTACTCTGAGCAAGAGCGCTCCCAAGAGCAGTCTACTTGAGCGCCCTCGGCTCGACAATGGCACGGCAGTCGCAGAAGCAGTGGCGATTCCGACCACACCTCTCGCACAGACAGAGGGGGAGTCACCAGGAGGCCGTCAAGTCCTGGAGTCGTCTACAGGCCTGGAACCCGGTTCCCAGCCTGCCTCCCCCACTCCTGCCGCAGCCAGGGAACCCGCCCCCCCTCCACAGCCGCTGTCGAGCCAGATGGCGAAGGCCCTGGGGACCAGCCTGGGCGCCGAGCCCCCTGCACCCAGCCCCCGCGCCGACCCGGCCCTGACCTTCCTGGAGGGCCCGCACGGCCGGCGCCCGCTGCTGCCCCTGCTCATGAGTATCATCCAGGGTCAAGTGGCGGGCGGCGCGCTGGACCTGGACCTCACCGACCAATGCCTGCGCCTGCTGGTCATCGTGTGCACCAGCCCCGAGGGGGACGCCGGGGACAATCCCCGGCTGCGCCGCAGCTTCGTGAAGCAGCTGGTGGAGCTGGGCCTGTTCAAGGCCATGGCAGACCTGAGAGAGTTTGGCAACGCCTTTGTCACAGCGGTGAGTTGCAGGAGGTTGTGAATCCGATGGCTATATCGTCGTCGTGACGCTGCGGCCGCGACATGTTTGCGTGCGCCTGGTGGTTGCAGCAAGGGACCTGCAATCAATACTGCAGTGACACCTCGCAGTGCTGCAGCTGACTCACCTATCCAACCACCGCACCGCACTCCTCGCAGGAGCTGGAGATCCTGAAGGCCAGCGTGCTCAGCATACTCACCCCGGCCGGTAGCGACACAAGGGAAGGGGAGGAAGAGGAGGGGCCCCGATCGCCCGCGACGCAGGCGCCACGGGTGCCAGCCGCCCCACCCCAGCAGGCAGCATCTGCCACTGCCAAGGGAGCGGCGGCCAGGTCGTCGCCGCTGCCGCCGCCCCCACCGCGGCCGGGGTCTGGAAGGAAGGCCCCCCCCGGGCCTCCGCCGCCCCCGCCCCCGCCCAGGAGGGCAGGAGGGGGCACGGGGTCGACGCCCAAGCGCCCCATCCCTGCAAAGCCGGCGGTGGTTGGGGCCTCGGACGTTGAGGCCCCACGCTACCCTGCGGTGGACCCTGGCCCCCCCCCCGGACGCAAGCTGCGCGCCTTTTTCTGGGACAAGATCCCGGAGCAGAGGTGTGGTGGTGTGTGGTAGATGTGTGTGTTGTGGTTGAGAAGGCACTGTACGGAGTGCGGCGTCTTCATCCGATGAGAGGCTCGAATGCCAAGCCCGTTGGCCCGCCTCCCCTCCAGCCCTCCTTCTCCAACCTGGCCCACGCCCCTCCGTGCACCCAGGGTGGAGGGGACGTTCTGGGAGACCCACCCACCGGCCTATGATTCGCTGGACCTGCTCAGCCTGGAGCAGGCCTTTGGAGCCGTGCAGCCACGACGTGCGTTTGCTGGTGGGAGCCAGGGGCGGCAGAGGCGGTCTTGCACATGCAGTGCTCGGACGTCGTCGGTGTCCCCTCCCCTCCTCACAAAGACACTTGCAGTGCACATATGCCGCCTGGCCTTCTTACCCCACTTCAACTCCTCCAGCTCCTCCCGCCCCTTCCTCGCAACCCCAGGCGCCTCGGCCCCCACCCCCTCCCCGGGCTCTAGTCCCCGCACCCAGGCGCTGGCGGTTCTGGACCTGAAGCTGGCGACGGCCATCGGCATCCGCATGTCGCGCCTGCGCGCGCCTTGGCGTGCGGTCCCCGCCGCCGCCGCCGCGTTCGACCCGCGCCTCCTGGCCTCCGGCGAGGATGTGGACGCGCTGCTGCACTGCATCCCCACCCCGGACCAGGCGGCGGCGCTGGAGTCATACGTCGCCGCGGGCGGGGACGCGGCCGCGCTGGCCGACGCCGAGGCCCTGGCGCTGGCGCTGGGGCGGCTGCCGCGCCTGGCGCCGCGCCTGCGCGCGCTGGCGGCAGCCCTCGGCGGCCCCACGGTCCTGGCCGACGCGGGGGCGGCGCTGGCCGCACACGCGGCCGCGGCGGCCGAGCTGCGCGGCTCCTCGACCCTGCACGCCCTGCTCGCCAGGGTGCTGGCCCTGGGCAACGTTCTCAACCACGGCGGGCGCCTGGGCGCCGCGCCAGGCTTCCGCCTGCGCGGCCTAGCCAAGCTCAACGACACCCGCGCCCTGGACGGCAAGGCCACGCTGCTCTCCTGGCTGGCAGGCCAGGGCGCGGCCCAGGAGCCGTGTGTGGGGCGCAGCCGGGGTGGCGGGGGCGACGGCCTGGGTGGCGGCGGCGTGGGTGGCGACGGCGTCCAGCGTCCTGGCGATGGCGGTGGTGCAGCGGCAGGAACAGGAGACCGTGGAATGTGTGCGCCCCCGCCCGCCACGTCACCTGGAGGAGAGCTGCAGCAGCGCCGGGCCGCGCCGCCCACTCTCCTGGCTGCCCGCCTCCCCGCGCTGGCGTCGCCCCGCCTGCGCATACCCCTGGCGGACGTGGCAGAGCAGCTGGGGGAGCTGGACCGCCAGCTGGCCGCCGCGCGGGTGGAGGTGGAGCGCGCGCGCTGCGGCGTCGCGGCGGGGAACTCCGGTGCGCACGAAGGTGCCGTCGCACCAAACCCCGACGCCGTCTTCCTCCAGGCCGTGGAGGCGCGAGTGACCGAGCTGAGCGCCGCGACCGCGGCTGCGCTGGCACAGTTGGAGGCCGTGCGCGGTGTGGTGGCTGCCGCCGCCGCCTTCTTCGGCGAGAACGCCGCCGCCGTCGCGGCGTCGGAGCAGGAGTTGTGGGCCGACCTGCAGGCCTTCATCTCCGCCTACACGGCCGCCGAGAAGGCCTGCCACGCGCGGGCAGCCGCCGCCAGCCCCAGCCCGAGGCGGGGGAGCGGCGCCTTGGGGCGGAGCGCGCGGCGCGCCAGTGGCCTCGATGGTGGCACAGGGGCGCGAGACCTGTCTGCGGCGCTGGATGCGGCCGCCGCTTAGGTGATGGCACGTCGGCGCTCCGGAGAGGTGTGTGCTTCAGACCTACACAGACCCATGCAACCGGCTACTCCTCCCAGCCTGGCCACCGCTCTGGCTCACCGCTTTAAACTGTGCGGTGTTGGGTGGGTGGGGGGTGATTCCATTGCAACCCTGACTCGAGCAGAGCACCAAACAACCCTCTACTTCCTTCTACTGACGGACCGCTTGCATCTCCAACCCATCTACTTTCAGTCTCGCTTGACAGCATCTCGCCCGATTGACTCCTTCAGCTGAAACTCCCACTGCTCGATCCGTGTTTCCTCGCATTCTGTTCATGTTACAAGCCGTGTCAGCCACGGCAAAAGGTGTCGCAGGCCTGCGCTTTGCTAAGGTCGCATCCGCGCAGGCTTGCCAGGCGCGCCTTGCAGCGCCCTCACAGCGAGACATGATCCCCTTCCCCCTCCTCTCATTTCCTCCCCCTGCCCCCCCTCCGCGTGTTGATGCTGTTGGCCAGCAGCCTGTCCAGGAACTCCCGCTGCGCGCGCAGGCTGTCCAGCAGCGCATCGGCCTCGCCGCCGGGCAGGCCCTCTAGGTCCTCCAGCCGCGACACGGCGTATTGCGCGCCGCTGGCGGCCTGCAGCACCACCGCAGAGGGCGGGGCGGCGGCCGCCGTGAACCGCCCGCCCGCCCGCTTCTGCTCCGTGACGTAGGTGATAGGCATCTGCACGGCGGGGCCGGAGAAGGGCAGCGGCGTGGCCAGGGGCAAGCCGTTGAAGAGCGTGCCTGCGGGGGCAGCGGCGCGCGGAGGGGCCGCCCCGCCCCGCCGCGGCGGGACGGGAGGCCGGCCTGCGAAGAGGAAGGGGAGTGAAGGGGTGATCGTAGATGAGTCAGGGCCGGGCAGTGGGCGCGAATGTCGAAAGGGAGATGTTGGTCGTGCAGGAGCCATAGTGGCGGAAAGTCCTCCGCACCTGGCGGCCCAGGCGCTGCAGCTGTGAAGTCCTTTGGTGCCGGGTCCCCACCAGGGCCTTTATCTTGGTGAGCGCCTGGTCGCGGAGCAGGCAGGGGAGGACCTGCCGGCCCTGCCGCTTCGTCCCCGGTCCTGGCGGCCATGCGCCGCGTCTGTACCGTTCGCAAGACCGTGGTCGGCTCGCCGGCGGCGCGTTTCCGCGTGGTGCCCCTCGCCCGCGTGCCGGGAGCGAGCGGAGGCGGGGCGGCCAGGCTGGCCAGCTTCTCCTGGACCTCTCGCAGACCCGCGGCGCTGTAGTCATCCGGCAGCTCCTCCCGCAGGCGGGCCAGAGTCATGGAGCGGACCTGGGAAGGGGGATGACGCCGATGAGATGGTGGGCTGCAAGCATGCATACTGTCGGGCAATGCACCAACAGTAGCCCTCCCCTGCCTCCCTGCCGCACAACACACCGACTTGGGGAGCTTGACTAGTTGTCTTCGACACTCGTTCTGCAGGCCGAGCACGGCGTCCTCTGTCGCAGACCATATCTCGGCGATGCGAGCTTCCACTGCAGGGAGTCATGGGAACAGAGGGTGGAGCTGCATGTGGTCCCCTGGCAGCAGCATCGACAGGATGAGGCTGCAGGACAAAACTCCACTAACTCACGTTGTGCCTCCAGGGATTTGTACTGGCTGCGTAGCTCGGCTGGGAGTGGGGGGGTCGAGGATCCCGGCTCCCCCCCCTCACCCACCACCTCGTCATCCTCTGGCACAGAGGCGAGGACCGCCTTCCTTACCCTGGGAGGCATCCCAGACACCTGGTGGTGTAGTACTACCTTTTTTAAAACAGTGCCCCAGCTCGAGGTGCGACGAGTGGGAGACAAGAGCTGCGCGACAGCTCCTCGCAGACGTACGCAGGTCCAAGTTGAATGCCGGAGCAGCTTCCCGCCAAGCAGTGCATAAGAGGCTTGTGAACCAAACTTCTGCATCAAGGTGTCCGGCCCAGGCTGCCGCTCGATTCTCAACTATACCCTCCTAAACTTCTGCCTGAAAGTTCTATGTCCAATACAGCACTTCAAATCAAGCGCGAGATTTGCTCGCAAAGCAGAGGCGCCAGAAGGGTCACTCCCCCTCCTCCATGGGGCTCGGCACACTGATCTGCGATGGGAGTTGCCCGGTAGTCAGCGCCTCCTCGAGCCGCTGCACCTCCTTCAAGGTCGTGGCCGCGGCAATGGCCGCCCTGATGGCGGTGGCCTGCTCGGGTGTGGGTCCGCTCCTCGTGCTGGGCTCCGCCGACGACGCGGCGGCCGCAGCGGCGGGCAGGGCTGCCTTGACCTGCAGAGGAGGGGACATGGATTTGCGATCGAGTTGAGCTGCCACGTGAGGGGGCGGGGGCAACGTGCAGGGTAGCCAGTTTGCGCGGCCCCCAGCCATCCAGCAGCGCCGGCTACCCTCAGACCCCTCACCTCTGCCAGGTCTTCATCAGGCTCAAAGGTAGCCGCCGGAGCCGGCGCAAGACCCATGGGGTACTGCCGCACAGCTTCCTGCCGCTCTGTCTGCTTCACTTTTCGGAAGTCCAAGACCTTGAGGTGGGGCAATCGACTGATCACATACAGCCTGAAGGCAAGGGAATCGAGGGGTAGGGGTGTAGAGGGCAGGCCAACGAGGCACAAGCCATACTTTCTTGTAACAACCTTGGCACAGCAAACAGCCTTGCTCGGGCATGCACTCACGCGCACATCCTCGCACCTGTACCCCTTCTGCTTTGTGATGGGATTCTCCAAGAGGCTCAGGTACTTCAATCGTGGCAAAGTCCGAAGGGGCTCGATGTCCTGAACAATAGTCGGTGGAATGGAGGGGAACTCATGGGAAGCCGATGGAAACAGAGGCCATACTCCTGAATGCACGGGCGCCCTCCCAGCTGGTTGCAAGGCAGAGATCTTGCCCTACCACAGGCATCTTCACCCCTCACCGTCAGATTTGTCAACTTATTGTTGGTCAGGAGGAGCCATTCCAGGGCAGGCACAGACGCTGCACAGCACCGAGGGGGCAGAATGTAAAGCCTGGGCGCCGAGTCTGTGTCTCAGTCAACTATGTGAGTCACGCACTCGGAGTTACACGCATGGAGATTCTGGCAGGGCTGCTCTGGCATCCCACCCACCTTCCAGGCCGCGGCCAATCTTGATGACACGATTGCTGTTCAGGTGCAGCACCTTGAGACGCAGGAGCTTGGGGAAGCCCTCCAGGCGCACAATGCCATTATCCGAGAGGTCGATGCTGTCGAATTGGTTCTGAACGGGTGACAAGGTTGGGGGGGAGCGTGGGTGATGGGAATAGCCCAACCCGGATCCCGCCCAGCAAGGAGCACACTCTCGACGCACCTCCGTCGCCCCGAGATTCTCAATCACGTTGATGCGGTTGGCACGCATGTCCAGCTCGTACTGTCCCACGCAGTTCATATACTGCGGGCTGCGAAGGATGAGCTCTGGCGTCAGCCTGCCCAGCACTCTTGGCCCTGCCAACGCTCCCACACCCCTCCCATCGAGCGCCATGGAGATGAATGGGGACTGTGCGTTGCCTTGCACCTCGCAGCACGTGGCCACTTCCGCTTGTACGTTGCGATGTGGTCCGCCTTCCTCGAAAGAGCACAGGCTTGCACGTCAAAGCTTCCCGCTATAATTGCTACCTAAGAAACGAAGTACGAGATAGGATGCGAGCACTGTGTGTCGAGACACCAAAGGCAATCTTGGCGAGGCGAGGAAGTCGGTGTAAGGAGGCTTTGCGGGGGCGCCATATTCGGGGATGAGGCTTTCGATGATCATTTCCTTTGGAACTCACCACAGACAATCCCCTCTAGATCCTCTCGTGTTACATTCTGGGTCCCGATGCATGCAGTGTGAGTAAGGTTTGTACGAGGGCAAGCACGTAATGCGCTGAGAGTGCTGCTGACATTGTCAGGTCAACCAAGGCCTTCAACATAGCATAAACGCCGTGGGAAGGCCCTGCCGGGGCCGATAGAGGTGAGCACGGAGTGGCGGAAAAGATATGCAGAGGATCCTGTGATAATAGATACCTGTAAGAAGGTGTCGCTAGGCGGTTGCATTCGGTTTATGGGGTTCTGGAAGGCAGTTGCTAGAAAAAGGATGGCCCAAAAGATCCTAGCATGCACATTCATGTTGGCCGGGGGGTGGGTGGCACAGGCTCATTGACGTGTCGCTCTCCCCAAAGGTGGATGCGTCGCTCTCCCCGCTGGAATCATGCCGCGTGTCGCCGCCCCCTTCCAGCAGACAGAGGGGAAATTCGTCGCAGTTGCACACCTCAATCATGTGGTTATCTGCCAGCAAGGTAAGAAGACACCAAGACTTACTGGAAGAGGTGGCCACTCATACTACTCAACAAACAGGCTTTCAGGCTCCTCCACCTGCCGCAGCGAGCATGAACCTTGCATAGAACCCAGGCACAGGCTTCCCCCATCCCGTCATCCAGCACCATCAGCCTACCAGGGTCATGGAAGAAGAGCTGCCTCATCTCCACCCCGTCCTCACAACATCGCTGCACGACGTACTTGATCCTGAAGTCGTCCAGCTGGCGCTCGACGGTGTCCAGGTCTTGAGCCTGTCAGACCATGAGTAACATTGTTACCCTAAACACATGGTTGCCACCAGCGCGGCAAGGCCTGGTAATGGTGGATACACAATCTGATTAACGCTTTCCTACTCACGAGGAAGCTCAGATGATTCGACTGAGGTACGATGCTGCTCTTGTCCTTGTTGACTGGAGTCCCCCTGATCAGGTGTACGCCCAGGCCATGTCGCCAGAGCCTGTCACGCAGTCGGGTTGGGCGGAGAGGCATTAGGTCTGCCCTGATGAAACGAGCCGAACCGGCCCCGTGAGGTCTGCTTCCTGGCATTTAAAGCCAAATTCGACTCACCAGCATCCATCGAAATGGAAACTCGATGGTCGGCGCACCAAGGTGAATCCCAGCACGTCCCTGTGGGGTCCCGCAGCTGAAGCTATGAGGAATTCCGATCGACTCAAAGACCCGTGCTGTTACGACTATCGAGGAAGCTAAATTCGCAGTGAGATTGAACCTACCTGTAGAACTGAGCTGCAATCGCGACATCTGCGACGACGAAAGAAACATGGTTCAGGGTGCCTAAGGCCAAACTCATGTCGGAGATATGGCGCCTCGAGCAATCAGCACTCGAGACATGCATCGGACGCGGGGATAAAGAATGATGCATCATCTTGTATTTATTGGGACTATGTTGTACCCGTGTGTTGGGAGCACACAACACCCCGTGCAACCCGTGCTCGGCGTACGCAATCTTTTTTCTGTTTGAGAATCTTGACAGCGCGCGGGGTAAATCTTCGCACCACGGGTGGGGCCCTTACTTGCTCCCTGACGAATTCCTTCAAGAGCCTCCCTAACACAATGAAGATTCCACACTTCCTTCAAAGACTATCGATGGTCCAACAGAAGTGTGCTCGATATTTTCACACTCATTTGTACTGGGTATAGCTCGCATGCGACGTATTGCAAGCAAGGGGTGAACGACCCCCCTGGTCATGAGGAATCAATAAGATCGCAAACGACCTGACGCCCTTGTACATTGCAAAATTATGGATGGATTCGTTCATCTGTTTGGTGAGTGCAGCTGCTGGCCGTGAGGTATCGTTCTGTGCAGACTGCGTGGTGCCCCACTCACAGCTTCGGATGATCTGGTACTCTGCAGCGTCCCAGATCCTCTCTCGCGGACTTACATTTGGATTGAATCTATTGAGCGCCAGATCGCTCACTCCGCAGGCATATGGGGTAAGTTCACGGCTCGATCGTGATTGGCTCCGCCTTTGCGGACCTTGCCCGGCGGACCATGACCACACCACCCCCGCACCACAGGTCGTTGCCATCCAGCTGCATCTACTGAACACAACCCTGCTGTTCCTCAGTCGGGAAGGCTTCCGACGCGGCTGTTTGCGCATCGATGCACGGAAACCAGGCTCGGTGCTGGCCACATCTGCCCTCTGCATCCCCCTGGGTGCGGTGTTCTCTGCCCCGAGCATATGGCTCCTCGTTCAGCGCCGCCCAGGGGACGTCGTTTGGCACCAGGCCCTCCAGCTGCAAGGTGTGGAGGCTGTTTTCGTGAAACAGCACATGCCGCTGCAACTCGGCCGCCGGTGCTCACGGCCGGTTGAGCGCGGTAGCCCAAGTGTCTTGCAATGATTGGGATCCGTCTCCACACCCACTCACAGGCCTTGCGGTCGTTGTGGAGCTGCTGAGCGAGCCGCTGTACGTCCTCGCCACGGTGCGGAAGCAGTACAGCCTGCGCGTCGGCGTGGAAGCCGGGGCGCAGCTGGCCAAGAGCGTACTGATCGCCGGCCTGCTGGCCCGCCCGGACGCGGACCCCGCCGTCGCCTTCTCCCTGGGTCAACTGGCGTACGCTGGGGCCACCCTCCTCTGCTACGCCGCATGGGGCTGCTCCCTGCGGGGTGTCCTCGGTGGCGCAGGGTCGGCAGAGGCTCACGCCGGCGCGCCGGCAGGTTCGAAGGCTGCCCCCTCGCAGGAGCAGCACGCAGCCGACCAGGCTGCCACAGACACGCGCCCCGGCCTGGACCTCCCCGCCCTCCAGTTGTCGGGCCTGTTTGGCGTCCAGGCCGTGGGCAAGCTGGTCCTGGCGGAGGGCAGCAAGTTCACGCTGGCGGCGCTGCAGAGCAGCTACGACCAGGGCGTGCTGGGGCTGGTAACTAATCTGGGCTCCCTCCTGGTCCGCACCGTGTTCCAGCCCTTTGAGGAGGCCGCCTTCCTGGCCTTCAGCAGGGCCGCCGCCGGTGTGGCAAGGGACGGCGGCGATGGAGTGGCAGAGGGGCGGGGGGATGGCGGGGCGGAGCCGGGCGACGCGGCGTCAGGGGCCGACATTCGCGGCGGCCCGGGGCGGGACCCCTCCGCCACCGCGCGCCCCGCCGTGACACGCACCCCCCACCCCGCATGCCACCTCCTCCCGCCGCTCACCCGCTGCATCGTGACCTTTGCCCTGGTGGCCGCCGCCTTTGCCCCCGCCTACGCCCACCTGGCCCTGCTCCTTGGCTACGGCCGGGTCTGGGCCGCCTCCCCCGCCCCGGGCGTGCTGGGGGCCTACGCCGCCAGCCTCCCCCTGCTCGCCGCCAACGGCGTGCTGGAGGCCTGCGTGCACGGCTGCGCGGGGCGGCGCCAGCTGGCGCGCGCCAACGCCGCGCTGGTGGCGCTGTCCGTCGCCCACGTGGCGGCGCTGCTTGGGCTGACCGCCGCACTGGGCACGCTGGGCACGCTGGCGGCCGACGCGGTCAACATGGCGGGGAGGGTGCTGTACTGCCTGGCCTGGGTGCGGCGCGAGCTGGGCGTGGCGCCGGCCGGGCTCTGGCCCAGGGCGGGGACCCTGCAGGCGCTGGCGGTTGCCGCGCTGGCCACCTCCGCGGCCCGCCTGCTCCTCATGCCGGAGAGCTCGGGCTTGCTGGCCGCCGGCCGGCGCTACCTGGGGCCCGGGCCCCGTGCGACGCTGGATGCCTTGCTGATGGCCACAGGGGAGTATTCCTTCCTGGCGCGCGCGGCGCTGCACGTGGCTCTTGGTGGGACGGCCCTGGCCGCGGTGGTGGCGGCGGCGCTCGCGCACGAGGGCGACGCCCTGCGCCAGCTGCGCGCCCTGCGCAAGGGCGCCAAGTCGGACTGATCATGGGCAGGCGGTTTGTTAACGATAGCAGATGGGGGCATGCGCCTCAGACTGTGAAACATCCACCCGGACCAGGACAGAGGGACCATTTTGAAGGGTCGAGTTCCTCGTCCGCCTGTGTTCCTGCTCGCTGACGTGGAGGTCATGCGCGGTCGGAGACACTCCGACATGCCGCGCCCCCAATGGCTTCCCAATGCTGAGCCATGCGCCAGGCCTGGAAAATCAGGCCCGAGAGCGAGATTCGATCAGTCCCCTGCATGCCCGCTGGCTGCGATGGTGTGGTCGATCGCGGCCGTATGCCGGTCCTCCCGCACGACCGGGGCTGCGTGGCGACAAGCATGCCGCGCCTTCTCCTCCGATCCAGGGATCCAGGCATCTCGCCCCGATGAGCGTGAAGCCATGGAATACGATGTGTGCATCGTGGGTGCAGGGCCGGCGGGTCTGTCGGCTGCCATTCGCCTCAAGCAGGTGAGCAAAGGGAAGGGGGAAAGCGCCAGGGTACATCGGATGACGCCGCCCTGGTGCAGATCGTGGAGGGAGCCTGATCTGAGGTATTCACTCAAACAAACAACATCCCCACCATAGCTTGCCAAGGAGAAGGAGCAGGAAATAAGCGTGTGCGTGCTGGAGAAGGGCTCTGAAGTCGGTGAGCTTGAGGAAGAGGAGGGGATCTGGTCGTGGTTGGACCTGTATCACGGGTCTTGCATGGGTCACTCTATCCCTACACTGCGCCTCTACTACCACTATGCTACCTGGCCACACACAATCACCCGTGCCGCACAGGCGCCCACATCTTGAGCGGCAATGTCTTCCAGCCCAAGGCTCTGGACGAGCTGATCCCCAGCTGGCGGGAGGACGCCAGCTGCCCCATCCACGCCGTGCCCGCAGTCAAGGACCGGTTCTACTATCTCACACCGCGGCGCGCTCTCCGCATGCCCACGCCACCCCAGATGCACAACAAGGGCAATTATGTCATCAGCCTGAGCGAGGCTGTGCGGTGGCTGGGGGCCCAGGCCGAGGAGGCAGGCGTGGAGATTTACCCCGGCTTCGCAGGTTCCCACCTGCTCACCTCTGCCAGCGGCGCTTGTGTGGGCGTGGGCACGGGGGACATGGGGATTGGAAAGGACGGCACACGCAAGGACTCCTTCGCCCCGGGCCTGGACCTGAGGGCGCGGGTGACCCTGCTTGCAGAGGGCTGCAGGGGGTCCCTGACCAAGGTGTGTAGGCGGAAGCGCCTTATTGTCTGCTTACTGCTCCTTGGCAGTGTGTCTGCTGGATCGGGGCAGGACTGCTCCCGCTGTGCCTGTGACAGAGCCCGTCCTGGAAGGGGTGCAGCTTGTCAGGTGCTGCAACCCCGGCGCTGCTCGTTGTCTTACGGTTCAATCCCTTTCGAGCGCCAATAACATCCCTATGCCTCTCTCACACACGTGCAGGAGGCACTGAAGCGATACAGCCTGAGGGAGAAGGCAGGTGCTGATCCGCAGACCTACGCCCTGGGTCTGAAGGAGGTCTGGCAGGTAGGGTCGGGTTTCGGCCATGTCGAGCAACAAGGCCCCGACCAGGCAGAGCTCCACTCGCCATGGTGCACTCCCTGGCTCCCCTTCTCGCAGATCGACCCCGCCAAGCACGAGCCCGGCACGGTGTGGCACACGCTCGGGAGCCCCCTGCCCTGGAACACCTATGGCGGCGGCTGGTTGTACCACATGGCAGACAACCGGGTCTCCCTGGGGTGCGCCGTGCCAGTGGGCGGGTGTGTCGGGACGCTGCCTGCCTCCATTCTTGTGATGGCCGTGAAGCTCAGACCCTGAGAACCACCCCTGACCGCCAGCGCCCCTTGCAAACCCCCCTTTCCACCCTGGCCAGCAAAGCCCCCCCATATCACACTGCAGCCTGGTGGTGTCGTTGGACTACAGTAACCCCAACATGAATCTCTTTCAAGAGTTCCAGCAGTACAAGCGCCACCCTGCCATCGCCCGTGTGCTGGAAGGAGGGACCTGCCTGCAGGTGGGTGCTGGGGTGTGGCGGGGAGCGATGGTGAAAATGGTGGCAGTGGGCAGCGGGCGTGATCTTGTTGCCGGTTGTGGATTCACATTCTCTTTGTCAAAACCTGAAATACGCAGTATGGGGCGAGGACACTCAGCGAGGGCGGAATCCAGTCCATTCCTGCCCTCACATTCCCGGGGGGTGCGCTCATTGGTGACGGCGCGGGCTTCCTCAACGTTCCCAAGATCAAGGCGAGAGGGGCATGTGGGCTGCAATGGGCCCCGGCTCCTTGGCTTTGCACTGAGGGATTGCATGTAGTTACGTTCCTGTCAAGCATCCTCTCAGTTGTGCACTTGGACGCCGCCTCACAAGCCATGCATGCCTCTCGACCTGCCTCACCCATCTCTCACAGGGCACCCACACCGCCATGAAGAGCGGCATGCTGGCGGCAGAGGCGGCTGCTGCAGAGCTGGCCAAGGAACCCACCGCCGCAGGCCGGGCCCTCGACCTGGGCGCCTACGAGACCGCGATGCATGACTCTTGGGTGCACACGGAGCTACACCGGGAACGAAACATCCGACCCTCCTTCGGGCTGGGTGCCGGGATCTGGGGCGGGCTTCTGGGCTCCGCGCTGGAAGCGTATGTCCTCAGGGGAAAGGCGCCCTGGACCCTGCGGCACAGGTGGGGCCGGCTCCTTTGCTTTCTGCCAGCGACCTGCAAGAGTGTGGGGGGCCGCCGATCCCTGATCCCATGTCCATGAACAAGACCCTCCCCATCTCGAGGCTCCATAGCACGCCCTTCCACTCCCCCCTTCCTTCCACAGGCGGCCGGACCACGAGGCGCTGGCGCCTGCCGCGCAGGCGGCGCCGAGGGAGTACCCCAAGCCGGACGGCAGCCTCACCTTCGACCTGAACACCTCCTTGTTCCGGAGCGGGACCAACCACGAGCACGACCAGCCGCCCCACCTGCGCCTGCGCAACGCCAAGCTGCCCGAGGCCATCAACCTGCCGCGGTATGGCGGGCCCGAGGCGAGGTACTGCCCGGCAGGTAGGAGTGCGAGGGGGGTTGATTTGGGAATTCAACAGGGCGTAAGCTCCGCGTGCGTGTGTGTATCATAGATTGAGATATTGAACCTTGCACCCATGAATGGGGCCAGTCCAAGCCAGGAACTCGAAACAGCCTCCTGAGCACGACAATCAACATGATCACTCCCAGCTGCTGTCTCCCACCGCCTCCATGCAGGTGTGTACGAGTACGTCCCCTCTGAGCACGGAGGCCAGAAGCTGCAGATCAATGCCCAGAACTGCCTGCACTGCAAGGCCTGCGACATCAAGGATCCCACCCAGAACATCCAGTGGATGGTGCCCGAGGGCGGCGGGGGCCCAAACTACACAATCACCTGACGAGGTCAGGGGAGAGGGATGTCCTGAAGAGATTGGCGACACACATGGCCGCCCGCAGAATGTAGTCGCTGTGTGAAGAATGAACTGCTCCGAGTGAGGCCCTCTGGTGCCTGTGAGACCCCCCTTGTAGTCCCCAGCGAGATACGTGCAAATGGAAGGCGAGCCTGCTCACACAGCGCTCCAGCCCATACCATGTGAAGCTGCAGATCCGGCGCCTTTGGTGACTGCCCACCCTGGGGGAGCAAGCGAGCTTTCCGCAATCGGCCGTTTATTCCCCTTTTTGGAGGGTAAGCTCTGCCTTGAAGCTCTGGGTTGACCTTGTGCATGAAGGCGGGGAGTCACCAAGACTTGCAAGCGCAACACAGAGAACAGCCCACTGAGGGAGCGACGCCTGTGTTTGTCATCGTGCACAGTCATGTTTTCCAAAAATGAGATGCCCACTCTGCCCTCACCCCCTTGCAACTGCGACCTGTGATTGCCTCTGTTACATCCAAGCTGGAGGGACAAACATGTGGCAGCCTGCAAAGAAGTGGTGACCTGCAAAAAGAAGAGGGAAAGGTCTTGACAATGTGTGAATTCGGACGCCTCTGGCCATGCCTCACTCTGCCTGAGTACAGCATCTGACGCAAGCAGCAAACATGCTCACCACAAACGAGCCTGCCCCTGCTTGGTCCCTCACCTCAAGCCTGTGATGGATCCCTCACTTCTTGGCGCCAGCCATGCCTGCCTTCTTGGTTCCGCGGACCTTCTTCAGCCTGTTCTTCCTCTCCTTCCTCTGCTTCCTTGACTTGGAGACAGCCTCGGCCAGACCGTTCTGAGGAGGGCATTGGGTTGGGGGTGCGGGATCAGGCAGGTGATGAGATGCCTCAGGGAAACAGCGGGGTCACACAGCACCAAGCTGCCCAGTACTCCGAAAATAAGATAGCAATGAGTCGCCCATGCTTCCTCACCCTGACGATGCGGTGGGTGGGCTCAAACTTCTTGAAAGCCTCCAGGCTGTCGTAGATCAGGCCAAAGCCAGTGGACTTGCCGCCACCGAACTGGGAAAAGAATAAAGGAATGGCCGTTGGCGTCATAGCTCTGAACGCTTCACGAATGCAGAGAACCTCCAGGTGACGCTCAGCATCCCCAAGCGCCCCCCACCACTCCACTACTCTGACCCCTTCAAGCGCCAATCACCCCATACCTGGGTGCGCAGACCGAAGACGGAGATCAGCTTGTCGTCCTTCACGTCGTACAGCTTGGCGAGCTTCTCGCGCAACTCGGTCTGCGAGGGGATGAGGAGCACGCGACGCCTCAGCATGGTGCACCGATCCCACCACCAGCCACGGAGTCACGCCCAGTGCACTATACATGCATCAAATCGTCGGCGATAGCTCGCTGACATCCGGCGCAGTCCTTCACGGCGCTGCTCCCCAATCCTCGCGACGCCTGGCTCAATGGCGCCCGTACCTTGGAGACATTCGCGCGGCCGGGGTGCAGCACGTCCAGGACCTGCGTGCGTGTGGGTGTGAATCGGACTGAGACTCTTATCAGGAGCTAGATTGGCGCTCAGCATCCAGGGCGCTCTCCGCAGTGGCAGGACTCACAAACTGCCGCCGTGCCAGCAGCCGGTTCGTGATGAACTTGCGAGTGCGGAGGGTGCAGGCCTTCTCCGCCATGTTGAACGAGCCTGAGGTGCCACCCACGTCGTTCACTGCCGAAAGAGGGTCTCCCAGGGGCCATCCCCCGGTATGTCGCCGAGCTCTGCAAGGAGCGTGGTACCGCGGGGGTACCGTTCTATACCATTGTGACGGCGGACTGGGCCCTCCCCATCCACCTTGTCCCGGCCGCAGTGAAATGCTGGCTACAAGCGCTATATTTCGAGCTTTCGTTCTAGCCAACACTCTGCATGATAGAGATGATTCATGCAAAATGTTCCATGAGGCTGCAGCACCCCGTCAGGTGGAACAACATGATTCATCATGCCTGGCGGAGTGACAGAGTCGCGAACGCTTGTTGCCTAGATCGACCTTTACTCTTGGCAGCACTTGCACTCCATAAAAATCGACTTGGTATCTTCACTGTAACCAGTGTAGAGATAAACAGAGCCTGGGAGGAACGGCATGTCCGCTGCAGACGTCCAGGGTGCCGCACCATTCCCCAGGCATGCTCGCCAGTCCGCCTGCACCCTCCTCAGTGCCCACCCTTGGGCATGGCAGGAGTGTGCTTACCCTGCTGCGCAGCGTGATCAGCCAGCGCGGAGGTCCGTCGCTTGGCCGCGGCGGTGATGGCCTCGCGGGGGTTCAGGTTGGGCGGCGTGTGCACGTACCTGACCCTGGAGCCCCGCAGGTAGAGGTACTCTGCGGCCCGCGTCGGACCCTGGAGGGGGGCTATGCTGGCGGACTCCAGCTGCAGGTCCAGGCCGTCGCCCACGGCGGTCAGCACGCCGCGCACGATGGTGTCGCAGTGCAGCTCGATGACTAATCGCATGCCCACCAGCGCTTCCAGGTAGCAGGCCAGCGTGGGGGGCCGTCTCCTGGGACCCATGGCCGGGACTTCTCGCCTTGGGCGGAGGGGTTGCGCTCTATGATTGCAGCGTCTGATGCGCCCGCCGCCGTCACCACCGGAAGCGTGTGCGGCGGATGTGGAAGAGGGCCCGGACCAGCAGGGTGTTGACCAGGATGACGCTGAGCAGGGGGTGGTGACTCAGCCAGTCGCGCACGGGGAAGCGGGGTTTGGGGCGGGGGGGCAGCGCGTCGGCCGGGGGCCCTTTGGCAGCCCGCTGACTCAGCACGAAGGCCTGCCGCCTGCTGAAACGCACTCGGTCGGATCGACTGAGGGCAAGGCTGCGTGGAGGGGAGGGTGCCGTGGATTGAGGGGATAGTTACGGCTTGGGATGGAGCAGTTGCCCTCATTAAAGGGGTGGCACCTCTCCCCATCCCAGAACGCTCCATGCCCTGCCCCATCACCCCTGCGCACCGAAAGTAGGGCAATTTTTCCACCAGGGGTCGCTCTGGGATGGGTGAGAACCTCCGCAGAAAGGCCTTGGCCTCGGCAAGAAACTCGACGGTGTGCAGCAGGGTGAGTGCAAAGTAGTCCCTCCTCCTCAGGGCAGCCAGACCCTCGACGATTTCGAATCGCAGGTCCTCGGGATAGAGTTTCGGAGGAATCAGCCGGGGTAGGCGACGATGGCGACTCGCAGCGGCCATGTATTATGGAGAAGAGGGGGTTGGGTCCCGCAATCATGCATTGCGGGGCACTGGCGTGGGCGATTGGCACGGGAATGTGATGTGTGTGGGTATCGGCCTTGATCTGCATCCCACCCGCGCCGGCGCCACTTCCGCTCCCAGGGCGCGGGATATGCCCCAAGGGAGTCGTTGTCTTTCGGGAACACTCTGTCCATAGGGAAAGTACACAGAGTATACACAAGACGCATATACAGCCTGCGGGATATGGCCCGCTGACTCATGCGAGCCTTGCTGTCCGGGCTGCGACTCGGTTGGGGACCAGCACCCTGCCGTGCCCGCCTGTGCGCAGGCTCCCACCAGCCGGGCCGTGCCGTGCCGAGGCGCGTGCCAGCCAGGGCCATGTCCGAGGCGGCTGGCGAGGCGGGGCGGGGTGAGGCCGTCGTCGAGTCCCTTTCCCCACCACCCCTCCCCCCTCAGCTCCTGAGTGTGGCGCCCATGATGGACTGGACCGACCTCCACTACCGTCAGCTGGCCCGCATGATCTCCCGCCACACCTGGCTGTACACGGAAATGGTGGTGGACAAGACCCTGATCCACAACCCCGACCACGACCGCTTCCTCTGGTTTCCCCCCGAGCAGCACCCCATCGTGTGCCAGCTGGGGGGCAGCGACCCCGACGAACTAGCGGCCGCGGCGCGCATCGTCGCCGGCTACGGCTACGACGAGATCAATCTCAATGTCGGCTGCCCCAGCGACCGCGTGGCTGGTGCGGGCTGCTTCGGCGCGGCCCTCATGCTCCGGCCTGAGCTCGTCGCTCGCTGCTGCGCCGCCATCGCCGCCGCCGTGGACATCCCCGTCACCGTGAAATGCCGCCTTGGTGAGCGTGTGTGTGGGGGGGGTGATTCTGAGGGCCAGGGATCTTGTATTCGATTGGAAATGTGAGATAAAAGCAGCACATTGCATCGTAGAATGGCCCCTGTCGAGCCGCCGCCTCCTGCGCAGCAAGATGGAGGGGGTCCCTCCCTGCCCGGTCTGCTCTGGACCTGCGTCAGGTCCCCGCGCCTCCCCCTTTTGGGGTACAAGACCTTCTCTTACCCCCCACCCCACCCCACCCCCCCACCTACAACAGGCGTGGACAACAACGACAGCTATGAGGAGCTGGTGCGCTTCGTGCACACCGTCTCCACTGGCTCCCCCGTCACACACTTCATCGTGCACGCACGCAAGGCCCACCTGAAGGGCCTGAATCCGCACCAGAACCGGACGGTGCCGCCGCTGCGCTACCAATGGGTCTGGGCGCTGGCCCGCGACTTCCCCCACCTCTCCTTCTCCCTCAACGGCGGCGTGGCGGGGTTGGACGGCGTGGTCACCGCGCTGCGCGCCGACCCCGGCCCCCTCGCCGGGGTCATGGTGGGGCGCGGGGCTTACCACGCGCCCTGGGACGTGCTGGCCGACGCCGACCGACGCGTGTTCGGCGGGTCCAACGCCGCGCTTTCCCGGCGCGTGGTGCTGGACACGTACGCGGCCTACGCGGACGCCATGGTCGGGCGCTGGGGCTCCAAGCCCGACGGCTGGCGCGCGCCCAGCCTGCGCACCCTGTTCAAGCCGGTGCTGGGCATGTTTGCGGGGGAGCCGCGCGCGCGGCAGTGGCGCGCCGCCGTGGACGCCGCCTTCAAGCAGGGCGCGGGCAGCGTGCGGGGCGTGCTGGACGCCACGCTGCACGTGCTGCTGCCGGAGTCGCTGGACGCCGCGCCGCGGGAAGAGGGGGACGGAGGTGCGGCGGGACCGGCGCATGAGGCGCTGCGCACGCTGCAGCACTGGGAGCCGGAACTGCCGCCGACGCCGGAGTGGCTTGCGGTGGAGCGGGAGCTGGGGCGAGGGGCCGCGGAGCGCGAGGGTGGCATGCCGGCAGCCGAGGAGGGCGAGGCAGGCAGCGCGAGTCAGGACAGCGCCCTGACCGCCGCCGACAAGGGCGGGGCAGCAAACTTGCGTTCAGGAGCCCAGCCAGGTGGCACGGGGTCGGAGACGTCGACGAGCGGAAACCTGGCGCAGGGCCCCGCGCCGGCAGGTGGAGCCGCCACGCCCGGGGATCAACAGCAGCAGCAGGAGGAATCTGGCGCTGCCTGCAAAGATGATGGAGCGTCGCACGACGAGTCGTGGGTGCTGGTGGAGAAGCAGACATCTGTGCCATTACAGGGAGCGGCATCATAAGTGTCAGTAGTATTCTTGCACCCTTTATATGGCATTGTACTGCAAGTTATAGAGTGTTGAGAGGGGGGATGCACGGCGTACTCACAGGCTGCACTGTGGTGACCGCTGATCGACGCACTTATTTGCGCACTGTTCGATCCAGAGTGTTCCTGGCCATTCCTGGCCAGGGCTCGCAGTGTTTTATAATACCTACATACTGTAGGAGACCTGTGGCGGTACTAACAAACACCGGCTGTGGCCGCAGGGGTGGTGCATGTGGGTGGAAAGAGTGATGAACTAGTCAGAGGGGACATGGAGACTCAAGACGCTGTCCCATCACCAAGGTGCAAGTTTGGTGGGGCGAACAAGTTTGTGATCCGTCGATTTTCAAAAAGAACCGGCTTGGGGTTGGAGGGGCTCGGTCGAGCCGGACTGCACGCCCTGTGATCCTCGTCGAGACACAGCCATGCCGCCATCGCTACAGAATCACAGGATTCGGACGAAGTCTCCTCGGAACATTCACGTCGCCAACTCTCGCGATGTCGTCGAAGGCTTGTCGGACTAGGTGGTAGTAGCCCGGCTGCTTGGGAATCGTAGTAAGCGTGTATGTTCAGCGACGTCACCATGGCTGAAGTGGATCGGTTCAAAGTGCCCCAGTCAGGATCAGAAACCTGTATCGAGGGAGGCCAGAGAGGGCTCGTGAGCAAGGACGTGCCGTGGCAGGCAGCAGCGCGAAGGCGATAACGCCTATCTCCTCTCACTACTCACCGTCTGGGTTGCTTCTCTATTTTAAGAGACGTCGGATCAATCTTGGGTGTACAAATACGCGTGCTCCGCAGTCTCTCTTAGGTGATTTTGGTTAGCAAGTATTCAAAAGGAGGTGGTCCGGAATTGGTACCTCGGAGCCATGGGATTGATCGGTTGGTGTGCAAACTGTCCAAAAATGATTGTCTGCAAGCTGCGGGGGACGGATTTGGTTCGCGCTGGTGTGCAGTGCTGCCCAGGCCGGGTGAGTGCACCACAGGGTCCTGGCGAAGCATGCGCGTCATCGTTCTCCCCCGAGTCCGGTCGCCCATGCACGAGTATACCTCGCAGACTCCCTTTTCACGAGGCACTTGCGACTCTAATGGCTTCTGAAACGCCTCGATGCCAAGTTGAGTCACACCAATTGCGGAGCAGGCGTGGCAAGGGTCAATTGTCCTTCTGACACGCCACCCACCCCTTGCCCGGCGCCGGGGGGGACGCCGGGGAGGCGAGGATGTCCCGCCTGCAGCGCTTCCCCCTCATGACCCGGCGTGAGGTGGAGGACAGCCCATCTTTGCGGGATGGGGTGTCTCACACCAACGAGACGCGGACCCATAAGACTGCGATCGGGAACATGATGCGCACCGCAGCGAATTTCCAGATGTGAGTGCGTGCCTGCACGTCGCATACGAAATTCTGTGGGTGTGTAGACACGAGTGACACGAGCAAGCCCGTCGAGGTTGCCCCTCAGGTCCATCTTCGTGTGTGGCGTGGCGGTGATCCTGTACCGCCGGTTCTACACCCAGCGCAGCCTGCGCAAGAACAACTCCTACGTGCGTGGCGCGTGGGTGCTGGTGTTGCTCAGATTTGGATCATGATCAGCCTGCCTGCCGGTGTGTACAGTCTGATGCAGCGGGGGTGTTCAGGCTGTCCCCACCTGGCGCTTTACCCTGCGCTCCGGGGATGTCCCTGCCTCCCCCCTCTCAATCCCCGCCCACCCCCCACCCACCCTCTTGCAGATCATGGCGGCGGCCTGCCTCTTCCTGGCCAGCAAGATCAGCGACGAGCCGCGCAGCCACCAGCAGATCGCAGCGGAGCTGCTCAAGGAGTGGTATGGCCGCCCCCTCCGCGCGCGCGCGCCTGCAGGCCGACCCCGACTGGACTGCGCGCCTGTTTGCCACCGTGCTGGACGGGGAGTGCCTGCTCCTGCACACCGTCGGCTTCGACTTCGACGTCGACCTGGTGCACAGCCGGCTGGTGGGCCTGCTGCGCTCGCCGCGCTTCCGCCACCTGCTGGCGGTGCCCGCGCTGCACCAGCAGATGCTGTCCTCCTGCAACGACATCTTGGTGCACGACTCCGGCCTGCTCCTGGAGTACAGCGCAGGGGAGGTGGCGCTGACCATCCTCTACTTTTTCCTGAAGCTGCACCGCCAGCAGGGTGGCGAGGCGGTCGCGGTGCTGGAGGGCAAGGAGGACGCGGATGGGCGGCCCTGGTTCGTGCAGGACGGACTCGCCCCGGAGCGCTGCCAGGCCATCGTCAACCGCTTCATGGAGAAGCTGTACAGCAGGGTGGGGGGCGGGGGGGCGGCCGAGCAGGGCGGGGCCGCCGGCGCCGACAGCGCCGCCTCCTCCCAGGCGGACGCGACCCCGGGGATGGCGGGCCACGACTCTCGCGGCAGCGCCGCGGCCTGGCCAGGGCCTGAAGCCCGCGAGGGCGACGGCGGGGATGGGGCGGCAGCCCCGGGGCAGGCGGCTGCGGGCCTCAAGCGGGGCGGTGGGGCGCCGGGCGGCGAGGAGCAGCCCCCCAAGCTCCGACGGACGGGCGACTCGCCGCAGCACCGCCCAGGCATCCCGCCGCGAATACCGCCGGGGCCCCTCCCACACCCAGGGCCGCAGCCTGACCCGGAGAGCAGCCCCGAGGAGGGGGAGCTGCCGTGCTGATGTCACACGTTGCCACTGACTTGGTTGCGCTGTTGTGCTTTGTTTGAACCACGTCGGGCTTATCCCCTTGTGCTGGGAAGGTACAGGGGATTCTGTCGTGATGCACAGGTGAGCTCATGCAGGGCTTTGAGCAGGCCCTGGAGCCAGCCAGTGCCCTGTCCAGATGAGAGGGACAGGTATGGCGAGGGGGCAATGGCCAGGCTGTCCCGCGAAGATCCTTGCCTGACACCCCATCGTCCACACCAACCTGCTACCGCTGGGGCCAGGGGAGGCTTGCCTCCTCCACGCTTGCCCCGGCCTGTATCAGGGCCAGTCGGTCGGTGAGCAGCTGCCGCACGGCCTCCACGTCGACCACCACGTCCACTGTGGTGTGCGCCTCCACGCACTCCTCCGTGTCGCACTGTGCATGAACGCAGGCGGAGGAGGGTGGGGGTTGGGTGGGATGCCTCGAGGTGGGTGCACCGGACCAAGGCAACCACATGGTTTCCACACATGCGGGGCGGAAGCAGCAATGTCAAGCTTCCAGGCACGCCAGGCCTGGAGGCATGCAGCTTCTTTACGGGTCGCCGCAGCACCCACACGAGGCCCCAAACCCACACCGAGTCCAGCAAGGTCCTGGAATCACCGCGTACCATCTCCGTGGTCCAGTTCCCGAAGCGGACCGCGTCCCTGGGATTGAGGTACACCGTCTGGTTGGGCTGCGTGGCGCGCCAGGCAAAGTGGTGGATGTCCCCCATCACCTCCGTCTGTGCCTGTTGAGGCTTGGAGGGGGATGGGCTGGAGGTTCTTGGGACAGGAGTGCATGCAGGCGAGGCGCCGAATGCACTGCGAGTGACTCGTGAAGAAACCTGGGAAGCGGTGGGCACACTGAACGCAGGTAAACACAGCCAGGCACCGCACCATGAATGGAACTGCGGCCTCCACGGCACAGCGTTTCCACGCAAGCCCCCGCATGCAGTGCATCCTATCAAAGCCTGTGGTAGAGCAGGACAAGATCCACCCACACTCGGTGCGCCTCTCTCCAGCCAACCCCCCACCTCTCCCATAACCCCCACTAAACCACCCACCACGCGCACCTTGAAGCTCTCGTCCAGGTGCTGGTAGCGCCAGTTGCGCTGCAGGAGCTCCACCACAATCGACCCCGGACGCAGCATGGGGGCGATGGCCAGGGCCGAGGTGTGCACGCTGACGAGGACGGAGGTGGAGGCCACGGATCGCATCTGCTCTGCCATGGGCGTGTCGTTGCTGTGCTCGACCATGTTCACCTGAGGGGGGAGGAGGGTTGAGGGGTCCAGGAGGCTAGCGGAGTGCCAAGCCAGGCCCTGGCAGCTGCGCAATGCACATTTTCATCCTAGATGGACCAGAACTCAGGTACCCTCCTATCTTGACTCTCCACCCTTGAACCAAGCCGCCTCACGGACATGCCCCAGCGTGCGCAGCATGGCGACGAGCTCCTCCAGATTCAGGATTCGGCGATTGGAGGTCTTTCGGTGCAGGGTGATGTTGGGCACCGCATGCCGACTGTGCGGGGTGGGAGGCTTCAACCCAAACTGCACAGGAATTTGTTGGATGAAGAAGTGCCCAAATCTATGCCATGACAAGCGTACCACAGCCATGCCTAGGCATGTGGAGGCATGGTTGAGCGCTGAGCGCAGCCTGGGCGATAACCCCCTATCCACAATGTGTTCTCCCCTTTCCGACGCACCTGTGCATAAAGGCGCTGGCGGAAAAGGTGTCCGTCTGCCTGGCTGAAGAAGGTGCGGCGGCCGTCGAGGTCCATCTCCAGGGGAACCAGGAGCTTGCTGATGCAGAGCCACTCTGACTCCTCCAGTCCCTCCAGGCTCGACACTTGCGACCAGGGGCAGACAGGCAAGGCTGTGAATGGCCTGTCCACCGGGCTGGCCACCAGTCTGACAAGCTCCGCAGTGCAAGGCCCCTGCTGTCCCCCCCTGCATGGGTGGTAGCCGCAATGAACACCCCCCACAACCTCTTCCTGACGCACGTATCTGGTGCCAAACCGAGTCAGACTCGGACTGAAACACGATGGGGGCCAGGTCATCTGTCGGCTGTGTCCCCGACAAGGCTACGCCCATGAATGTCCTGGCCCAGGCCATCAAGTGGGTCCGCTTCAGGGACATGAGCAGCACCCGGGCCGGCCGGAAGCCGGGCTGAAGCTGGAGCGAGGAGAAGGCAGGGAACAGGACCTCCGGCCAGTGTCCGATGGCCATCTGGGACAAGGGGTGCGCTGAGGAATTGATTGCGGAGACTTCCAAGGGCAAGACACCCGGTGGACATGCAGGCTTGCCTTGTGCAAAGGCAGAGTGTGCTGCCAGTGAGTGCATGTCTGCCTTACCACCATCAAATCAGAAGCTTACTGGGTGGAGGAAATAGGGGAAGTCCATGAACAGGGTGTTGCCCGGGAGTACCCGTGCCTGCACCGATTGCACAAATGCCAGGGCGTCTAGCACATGCAGGGTCTGCAGGTGGTGGTTCTTGCTCATCTTCCATGGGTCCTGGGGAAGTGAAGGAATGTGGAATGTGTGTCTCTCTGAGGCAGCAGAGGCGCAGGATGGCGGCAGGATCATCACAGTGCCTTGGAAAGAGGAGTAGCATTCAAAGCAGGCCATTGCAGGCAGCCTGTGCGTCTTTCAGGCAGTCCAACCGCCTGCAGGCCGGTCTGGGCGCTGACCACTGTGTTTGGTCCATCGACCAATATATAGAAACGGCCGTTGTTGTACCTGAACGAGGCGGGGCAGGGTTTGTATAGGACATTGGGGTTGCAAGGGTTGGGAAGAGATTTGCTACGGCATCAACCTATGCATCGCCAGCATCAGGTCTCATGTCAAATGCCAGGTATCCCACCGTGCAGAATAGCAGCACAGTCCACCCATCCGTTTCGCAGCGACTCTGATCCCCCTTCACCAGAGGTTTTGGTAGGTGCACTGCATGTCCTGGCAGGAGACCTCTGTGCGTGGAGTCCCGCCCGGCCAGCTCCAGGCTGCTGCATCGACGCCCCTCTCAAGGCATGCCTTGGGCATGTCAGGGGTCCAGGCTTTGCCGTCCCACCATTCATACCGCCGGACGTCCCAGAATCTCAGACCCGCGTTCTGGGAAGGGAGTGATGGTTGTACTGCCTTGCCTCCTATTGGGGGGATAATAATGACGCAAGGTTGGCAAGTCCCACACACATATACACCTGCTGTGACTGGGCGTCTCTCCAGCGGCAACCGATGGGGAAGGGGCCGTCCATGCCTGGGGCTCCCGAATGTGACAAATGCTGAGGCAGGCCAAGCCTGACACCCAGAATCGCGAGCATGGCTAGCCCCGCGCTGACGCGATACGTCTTTGGAATCGACGCCAAGGTGCTGAGCATCACACTGAGCGCCCATCGTAGAGCTCGAGCAAGCCATGCCATTTTCGGTGCTTCCGGAGGTGTGGAAGGCATGGCTAGTCGTTGATACTTTCAGATACGAGAGTCCATTCTAGTATTCAATGAGCGGACCGTTGTCGAGGGACCCACTGCATCCCACATGCGCGCCATGTAGATGTCCGCAAGCCAGAGTGTAGAGGTATCTGAGCTCAGGCAATTTGAAGCTGATGCGGGGTGTCCCACCTTGCGCGCGCGAGGGTTGAGTCACTGTGAGTGAGCAAAACTTGCAGCACCAAACTCTTTATGGGTCTGTTCGAATCGACGCCTCTGCATCTGAGCGATCTAACGGAAGTTTCTTGTTTGCCCAGAGAGTGCAAACGAAGGAGCACCCTGCCTTTCGCATAGAACCCTGCTACCTGTCGGCGGCGTGCCAGGAGGCAATGCTGGCCTCCGCGTCGACCAGGGCCTCCGCACCGCAGCGCAGCTGCTTTGGGTGCGGCTTTGACCGCCATGGACCGAGGCATGCCGCTCCCTGCCCCGCCCCAGCGCGCAACGGCGCACGTGCCTGCTTGGTGGCCCCTGCCCGCGTCATGGACGGTGCTCGCCCGCTGGTCCCCGAGACGGTGCGCCCCACCGTCAGGCTGGACGCCCCGGTCGCCGACCAGGGCCTCCAGGCACCAGGCCAGCACCTCGATCAGGTGGGAGTCTGCCCGTTGGGAGGGGGGTGGTACTGGCTGGCCTAGCGCTGGCGGCATTGCTGGCTGGCTGGTGCTGGGTGTGGCACTGGGGATGCAGGTCGTCTCCTTCCTTGGTCTTGTGCGCTCATCGACACCAAGTCATGCCAGTCCCACGTGTTGCTATTTTGTCGGCTCTTGCCCAGCCGCCAGCTCTTGATCGGGATGCTGGAAGGGCTCCCTTCCCTGTGGCTGGAGCCTGGCCTGGCCACAAACAATTCCCTCCCCATCCCCGAGCCCCCTCACCCTGCCCAGCATCATCCTCCAACCCCCCCCCCTCCCCTCCCCCCCTTCCCCCTCCCGTCCAATGATCAGGTGTCGGTGGTGATGAAGTTCGGCGGCTCCTCGGTGGCCAACGCGGAGCGGTTGCGTGAGGTGGCCTCCATCGTGTGCAGCTTCCCGGACCACCTGCCCTGCGTGGTGCTGTCTGCCATGGGCAAGACCACCAACCTGCTGCTGCAGGCGGGGGAGGTGGCGCTGCACACGCCGGCGGGGGAGGTCGGGGCGCTCGCCCCCCTGGCCGCCATCCGCGACCTGCACCTGGCCACCGCCGCCGAGCTGGGCGTGGACGCGCAGGCCGTGCGGGGCGTGGAGACGCTGCTGACCCAGCTGGAGCAGCTGCTGGTGGGCATCTCCATCATGCAGGACCTGACCCACCGCGCGCGCGACTCGCTCGTCTCCTTCGGCGAGCGCCTCTCCACGCGCCTCTTCGCCGCCTACCTGCGCGCCCAGGGCGTCCCCGCGCGTCAGCACGACGCCTTTGACATCGGCGTCATCACCACCGACGTCTTCACCTCGGCGGAGGTGGACTACGAGGCCTCGCTGCCCGCGCTGCGAGAGGCGCTGCGCCTGCCCGGGTCCGGGGGTCCCCGCCCGCTGCCCATCGTCACGGGGTTCCTGGGTCGCGGGCGGGGGTCGGGGGCCATCACCACGCTGGGCCGCGGCGGCTCCGATCTGACCTGCACCCTGCTGGGCGCGGCGCTGGGCCTGCCGGAGGTCCAGGTCTGGAAGGACGTGGATGGCGTGCTCACCTCCGACCCGCGCATCATCCCCGCCGCGCGCCCCGTGGCCCAGCTCACCTTCGAGGAGGCCACCGAGCTCGCTTTCTTCGGGGCCACCGTGCTGCACCCGCAAGCAATGCAGCCCGCCCAGGAGGTGGGCGGCATGGGCGTACGCGTGAAGAACAGCTACAACAGGTGGCGCTGGGATTGTTGTGGGTGCTGGGTGCTGGGTGGTAGGTTGTGTGGCAATGGGGGAAAATGAGGGGGGAGGGGGCATCAGTAATGGGTGGGTGGGCTAGAAAGGAAGGGTGGCTCTCATCTCGTTCTGACTGGAGCTCTGGCGGTGCCACCCTCACCGCCAGGGCTCCTCCCCTCCATCGCAACCAGAGACTCTGCTCTCCTTCCCGCCTGCGCCCTTTTCTCGGGTACACCTGTCTCCACCCTTCCTGCACCCCACGTTCCATTCCCCCAATGAACAACCCTCTCCCACCACCATCACCAACGGAAAGGCTGGCCCCTGGCACGCTGATCAGCGCGGAACGCGACATGGCCGACGCGCTGTGTACGGCCATCGTACTCAAGTCCAACGTGACCATGGTGGACATCTCCTCCACCCGCATGCTGGGCCAGTACGGCTTCCTGGCCCGTGTGTTTGATGTGTTCGCGCGCCAGAAGCTGTCGGTGGACGTGGTGGCCACCAGCGAGATCTCGGTGTCCCTCACCCTGGACCCGGCACGAACGCTGTGGGAGCGCGACCTGATTGAGGACGAGCTGGAGGGCCTGATGGCGGCCTTTGCCGGCATCGCCAAGGCCAGCTACCGCCGCGGCATGTCCATCATCTGCCTCATCTGCAACGTGCAGCGCACCTCCACCATCCTGGAGCGCGTCTTCAACGTGCTGGGCCGGGAGGCGGTGAACGTGCAGATGATGTCGCAGGGCGCCTCCAAGACCAACATTAGCCTGATCGTGAGGGATGGGGAGGCGCCGCGCGCCGTCGCCGCCCTCCACGCCGAGTTCTTCGAGTAGGGGCGATGGTGGACGTGGGTTGGAGGGAGGAGCCGACGGCGAATGACCGCGCCTTTGCCGGGCCAGGGCGGGAGCGGCTACCGGCCCAGCCGCCGGGTGGGCCGAGGAACAGGAAGCCGGCTGCCGCGTGCACAGTGCGCGCATGCGGCGAGGGCGAGCCGGCCAGCCAGCCAGCCTGAGAGTTCCCTGGGCGCATAGAACGGGGCATTGCTCCCCTGACCTGTAATCTGCATCCCTGCCCCAGCGGGGATGCAAGGCTACATGTAACTGACGAGTAGAACAAGGAGGGGGGGCCTTGCGGCCAACACATTCGGTGCAATGACGAGGCTAAGGAAGAGGGGATGTACAAAGAAGAAGAGGCTACGGTGCAAACTCTATGAGAGGGAGGGCATGGTGGGTGCACGTTCCACCCAGGGAGAATATACAATGCAGTTGCAAGTGGCTTGAGAAGGCAAGTCCTGCCCCTGGTCCTGCAGGGCGGGGTGTTCTTGGCGTGGAGGTTCATGCATACTACGCAAGGTTGAAATCCCAAATGTGCAAGTGCCTGGCGGAGTGTGAAGCTCATGTGCCTGGGTATGTTGGATGTGTGGGTGGCGGTGGGGCCCTCACGGGTCGGCTTGTTCTGGTGCCTTCTCCTCCACGTCAGCTGCGGAGTCCCCGCCGTCGACAGGCGCCCAGGTGCGGCGCACGCAGGAGCTCAGGCTCTCCAGATACAGCTCCTCCAGGTGCTGGGAGAAGGAGGCGCGGTCCAGCATGGCCGACCATGCCGCCACCTCCTCGCCCCACAGCTTCTGCGCGGCTTCCAGCTCGTCGCGGGTGGCCGAGACATCGTCCGGGTCCGTCGTCGCGGCCACGGCCGCCGAGGCGCGATCCGCCGCACGCTTGGCCAGCGCGGGAATGGCCGCCATCACCATCGCCGTCTGCAGCGGGGGATGCGGAGGGGGTGGGTGGGAGGTGGAGGGGAGCAGGAAGTCAGGATGGATCGGTGCTCCCCCTGGTGCCCATGCCGGCGAAGATGCCAGGGATTCCATCCCATGTAGCCCTGGGTTGGTGACAAAAGTGTGGCCCGGAAAGCGTACACCTCCATTGCGGACATGGCCAGCTGATCCACTCAGACGCCACCCTCATCTTCCCTCCATCTCTTTGGGAGACTCACGACCAGAAACCCTCCTCACAATGACCTTGTGTACCCATCCTCCCCGCCAATCCCCACTCACTGCCTTGGAGGTGAACTGAGGCACTACGGCCGTGATCATGCCAGCGACGGCGGGCATGATGTCGGGCATGGCCGTGCCCTCTCCCAGCGCCAGGCTGGTGTCCCGCTGCACCTCCACCCGGCCGTCGCCCAGCAGGCGCACGGCGTGGCCCACGTGGCAGTACCTGCAGTACCGGGGTATGTATTTCTGCGGTGGCTGGTGCAAGGCGGGGGGGTCGGGGAGCATTCAGAACAGCCATTCTTCGGTATCCTGAGCTCATCGATTCGGGACGAGCGATGGCTCAGGATGGTGTAGGAAGACGCATGCATGCAATGGCATGGTCATGCCCACACCCAGACCTTCCCGCTCCCGACAGCCTACCCCATGAGGCGAGGGACCGAGCACACAGCGTCCTGGTTGTTGACGATGCGCCAGCTGTTGGGGACGAGGTCGTTGTACTCCTGGAGAAAGGAGGGAAGGGAGTGCACTCGTGCAGGAACTGTTTCAGAGAGCGGGGCATATGTGGGCCCGAGAACTGAAAATTCGAACCTCGTTTGCAGGCAAGGAAGCTCAGGACAGCGGGTGGGAGATTCTTAAGAGAAGGCCGTGTGGCATGCTCGGCGAGACTCTTGCAGAGACAACCCTCCATCCCCCCCCCCCCCAACCAACCCCTCAGCACACCCCACCCGTGCGAAGCGGCGGTTGCCGACGCGCGGGCTGCCAAAGTTGTACATGGTGAGGTGGGGCGCCGGCCCCCCGTCCCAGTCGTGCAGCGCCAGGTCATAGGAGCACAGCGTGCCCAGCGCGCCCCCCAGCGAGTGCCCTGTGACAAACACGTGCCACGGCTCGCCGCCGCCGCCGCCGCGCGCCAGCGCCGCGCGCACCAGCCCCAGCGCCGCGCCGCGCACGCTGTCGTAGGCAGCCAGGAAGCCCTGGTGCACCCAGGGCCGGTCCTCGGCCCCGGCCTCCTCGGCCACCGCCTCGGCCTCCGACACGGCCTGCCAGAGGCGGTCCAGCAGGACCCGGGCCTCGCCGGCGCTGCCCTTGACCGCCTCCAGCGCGGCGGGCACCACGCTGGG